GCAGAAAATACTTCCTCAGAGACAGCAAGAGCCAGGGAAGGGTCCAGATGCTCGGCTTCTAGTCCCAGCTGTTGGCCACTAGCTATGTAACCCTGGGCAAGCCACCCTAGAGCCTCAGTTTCCCCATCTGTAAAATGGAACGACAGTGGGTAAAGACTAAAAGAGATGTGAAAATGCTTTTTATATGGTAAACTATTATACATGTTAATTATTCATTAGAGTGGTCTTCGGCAAGTCGCATGACTTCTCTAGGCTTCAATGCCCAATCTGTCAAAGAGGAATAAATATTTGCTATGAGGATTAGCATATTATAAGAAGCCTACTAAAGTTCAAGTAGAGAATTACGATACTGCTAATCCTGGTCATTCGAAGCAGTGGTACTCATAATGGAGGTGATGGTGACAGTGTGATTGGGGCCACTGGGAAAGCTTACTTTCACCTCATTAGAATATCTTTCCTAAACTGGGGCTCCTTCACTTACTGTCTGACCAGCCTCAGGCAAGTCACAACCTCTGAGGGCTTCAGTTTTTCCTCCTCGGTGACACAGGGATGCTCACAATACTTACCTCCTAGGTTCTCGTGACAGTTAAATGAGATAAAGCATTTGAAGTGCCAAGCTCCATTCCAGGCACAAAGAGATAACCAGTGTTAGCTCTTGGTCATGATGGCGTCATCTTGAGCTGTGACCACACGGGCGGGCCTCAGGGAACATGACAACCCAAGGTAAAACAGTATATAAATTCACTGCAAACATGGGAAACATGGGGCTCTCACGGGCAGCCCCTTCCCCTCCCATGGCCCCACAAAACCTCCCAGGTTCCTTCTGACAGAACTCTGGCATTCCTCAGGGGGACCGTGGCAGGCCACCCAATTGCCAGCGGACTACTGGCCAGGGGGAAGTGTGTAGCGTGGTCAGCTTCAGGGCCTCCCTCAGCTACGACTACCACAAGCCCCCTGTCTTCACGTGGATCTCCAGCTACATAGAATGGATCCATTCAGTTGAGAGCCGGACAAGCCCAGAGCCTCCTGGGCCCTGTCCTGCTCACCTGGCCCCACAAGAGCAGTGCCCTTTTAGGGTCTGAGAACCCCCTCCTTCCATCTGAGAGCTAGGCAGGAGCTAGGAACCAACCTTAGCTGGGTCCCCCTCCGTGGGCCCCCGCAATCTCTGTGAGTGAAAGGTGCCTGGAGGGTGGCCTTGTCCAGAGAGCTTGAAAACAAAGGATACACCTCAGGTATTAAGAGTGGGTTTCTTAGGACTAATAGGGTATTTTATCACATTTTTGCTTTTTTCTATATGTAGGCCCTACCATCCAATGCTAGAAACACATTTATCTGCAAAGCCCAAAACCTGATCATTTGAGACCTCTGCAGCATTAATGATTGGAAATGAGTCCCTCTAAAGGGTCCCCCGACTACTCTGCACTTTGCCCTGGGCTGAGAGGTTTCCCAGCATGCAGGATTTTCGGTTTTAGATCGGGAGAGACCAGGCAGACGGGACTGAGTTGGTCCCACTGTTATTGTGAATGTGTCCCCAGAGTGGTCTCCTGTGAGCCCAAAACCAGTCTCACCAGCTCCGTTCCTATTTTTGTAAACAATGGACACACATTTGTTTGTAAATAAAACCATAAAAATTAATTATTTAAAAAAAAAAACAACAACCCGCAAAACCTGGCACCAACCTGCCATGGATACAATCAGCAATAGATGGAAGCAGCCAGAACAGGGAGGCATCACGAGAAAGGCAGGCCTGGGAGGGGTGCCTGGGGGCGCCCGGGGGATGGGCGGGAGCAGGCCTGGGGCCTGGTGATGGCTGCTGGGAGGAAACAGGATGACTCCATGCTGTTTGTGACAGCACCGCCCCCCCCCGCCGAAGTGAGGGAAAGCTAGCACGTGATTTCATTCTTTTAAGTTTATTTTGCAGAGAACTGTTCAACTGAATCAAACCAACACTCTTGTTTTAAATTCCAGTATGGGGGCGCCTGGGGGGCTCAGTCGTTAAGCATCTGCCTTCAGCTCAGGTCATGATCCCAGGGTCCTGGGATCGAGCCCCGCATCGGGCTCCCTGCTCCGCGGGGAGCCTGCTTCTCCCTCTCCCACTCCCCCCTGCTTGTGTTCCCTCTCTCGCTGTCTCTGTCAAATATAAAATCTTAAAAAAAAATAAAAATAAAAATAAAAATAAATTTTAAAAAATACAAAATACAAAATTAAATTCCAGTATGAAATCACAGCACGAGCATGCGGTCACAGGAGGGAAATACACCGTCCAACGGGCACCGCCAAACGAGCAGGTGGCTGTCTCCGAGTCTCGTCGCCACGCCAGCTCCATGTTCATTTGTCTGTCTGGGGGCAACTCTGCTGGGGGGCGGTGTGGCGGGGGAGCCGTGATTCCACTGGGGCAAAGGAAGATCTGAGTGCAGGACTGGAGGCTCCCACCAGCATTTCAAAGGATCCCATCCAACCCGCTGGCTGGCTGGAAGGTTAGCTTAGGGCCATTTCCCCAGCCAAACCCTGGGGCCCTTCCCAGCCCCAGGTGCCGCAGGAGCAGCACCGAGCAGCTGGTCCTGGCAGCACGTTGGGGACCCAAAGCAGGGGCCGGGGGGTGGGGGCAACTGTCCTTTTTTTGTCCCAGCATTAGCTGTTCCGAGCCACAGACAGGCACCACAGAGCAGGCCACAGCTGAAAGCATGGCCAGATGCTGGAGGGGATCAACGGGGAGGGCAAGCTTGGTGCGGCAGCTGGGCAGAGGCCCCTGCTCACGGGACGGCAGCCGGGACAGGTACACGTGCCCAGTAACGGGCTCCGGGACTGGCACATCCGAGCAGGCAGCTGTCGTCCGGCGGAGGCTGTCCCAGCAGCTGCAGAGGGGCTGCTGAAACCTTGCAGTTCTGCCAGCCTGGGATGTGCTGTGTGCAGCCGGGGACACCTGCCCGCACAAACCCAGACCCGGGGGGGGGGGGGGGGCAGGGGGCAAGGTCAGGCAGCTGCCAACAAAACATACGAGCAGGGAGGTGACGGGGGACAGGTGGCCAAGGGCATTCATACTTTCAACACGTGTTCGCAGAACGACAGCAACACATGCATCTTCAGCATCCACCAGCTGAATGTTTATTTTTATTTGAGAAGGTAATACATTGTCTTTGTCAGAATATTAGAAGAATATAGGAGTGTACCCAGTAAAGAAAGGAAAGTCTCCCTCATTTTACAGCTCCAATCCCACCTTCCAGAGATAATCACCGTTAACGGCAGGGTGGATGGTCTTCCGGACTTTACGTACATGCCTATATCAAGTATCTCTCTATGTACATTAATATAGAATATCTTCTAACCAAAAATAGCATTTCACTCTTCATACTGTCCTGCAACTGGGTCTTTTCACCTAACACTGTATCACATTTTACGTATCAGTCCATCCATCAGGTCATCCTTTTGGACAGCTCTGTAATATTTCGTATTACGACTATAACGAGTGATGGTCTCATCGGTTCCCTATCGTCCTCCCTCCCATTGCTGCAGGGAAGCCCCTGGACACACACTCCTGCACAAAAGCCGAGTACCTGCGCTGTGGAGCTCCAGCAGCATCACTGAATGACAGAGTTGGCCAGTAAAAGTTTCAACAGATACTGCTAAAAGGCCTCTAAAAGCAACACAGAACAGTGCCCTGCAAATAGCACCGCTGGTTTAACCCTTCCGGGGCTCTCGATCGCTTTGAGAAACAAATGAAATCTAAAAACCATCCACACATTCGGCACCTGATTTTTCCCTGAAGTCCAAACAGAACCTCAGGCTAAGTACCCCCAGCAGGTCTGTGAAGAGCTGTGATAACATCTCGTTCTCCTGAACATCACGAGGGCCCCCCAAGCAAGGGCCACCTGACTCACATGAGCAGCGAGCGCAGAGCCTGGAGGGAGTAAGCCAGGAAACTGCCAAGCGCAGTTCTGCTCTGCTGGGTAGAGCAGAACTGATTATTTTCTTTTATGTGTCCTGCAGGTGACTGCAAATAACCAACCATCAGAAGTCCCGGGGACGAGTTCAGACTTGGAAAGGTCACAGGAGGAAAATAATGAGGTGACAACCACATGAATCCCATCTTGGTAAGTCTTAGCAAATAAGCCTCACGTCCACGGCCCTGAACGCTACAAATTGGCCAGGGTCAGGAGAGCTTACCAGACCTCAGGGATGGGGCCTTATCGGTGTTTCCCTGGACCCATGACTTCACTGCCCTGAGGACACAGCTCCCAGCCCAGTCACCTTCTCGAGATGGGGTCAGGTTCAAATGAAGTAAGAGATGGGGAAATGTTTTTTAAAAAGCAAAAATCTGGGGCGCCTGGGTGGCGCAGTCGGTTGAGCATCTGACTCCTGGTTTCGGCTCAGGTTGTGATCTCAGGGTCGTGGGATCGAGCCTGGAATTGGGCTCCGAGCTCAGTGCGGAGTCTGCTGGGGACTTTCTCTCCCTCTGCCCCGCCCTTCTCTGCATGCACTCTCTCTCTCTCAAATAAATAAATCTTTAAAAAAAAAAATTAAAATTAAAAAAAAGCAAAAAATCTCCTTTACAAGGAAAAACAAACAGTTGGAACAAAATGAGGGGGGAAATAGGCAAAAAAAAAAAAAAGCGTCCATCTTCACCTAAGATTTTTTTAAGCATACTAGAACATAAGAAAAATAGGTGACTTTTAAAATTTCACTTAGGATTCACTGATTCCAACTGTTCAGACTCCAGGAGTCCCAAACTTGCTGATCTAAGAGAGATGCTGGTTTGTTTGTAACCAAAACTTCCTTTGGATCAGTGGTTCTCAAGTGGGGTCCCACGGGGGGGCATCTGGCAGTGTCTGAAGACATTTCTGGTTGTCACTACTCAGGGAGGGGTGCACAGGCATCTATGGGCAGAGGCCAGGGACGCTGCTCAACATCTTACAGCACACAGGACGGCCCCACAACAGAGGATTATGTGACCCCAAATGTCAATAGTACTGAGGTCAAAAGCCTTCCTGTAGAGACAACCATGGGGTCACAGGCCCCAGCCACTGGCTAGAGAAAGGGCCGTTGGGAAGAGTCCTGCGGTGTCCTTGGTAGTCTTCTGCTCCTCCTCCTCCTCCCGCAGGTCATTTGTCTCCAACGTGGAAGCTGCTAAGAGCCTGTCCGGCACCGGTGGGGAAAGAGCAGACCCACGAGAGGCCACAAACCCCTTTAAAGAACGACAGCTGGAGCCGTAGAACAGACCGGGCCTTGGCTGCCGTGGGCCCGGAGCAGGAAGGTTTTGGGGTGAACAGTAAAGCAGGGTGAGAGGCAGAGGGGCTCTGGCCCACATCACATTTTAAAAAAGAGTTTTTTCCGGAGGAAATTGAAATAACCGGGAATCTGTTTGTAAATCCCTTTCTGTGAAACAGCATTAGCGACCTGTGAAAAGATGAGCACCGGGAAGTCTGTGAGGGCTCTCGATGGAAGTCAGAGGTCCAGGGAGGGGCTGCGGGGGAATAGCCACTGACCCAGCCCTGACACAGCGCTGGCTTGTACTCTGTGTCTATGAGTCTGTTTCTGTCTGTTGGTTGTGTCTTTCAGATGGCACATGTAAGGGACACCTGGGTGGCTCAGTCGGTTGGGTGTCTGCCTTTGGCTCAGGTCGTGGTCCCGGGGTCCTGGGATTGAGCCCTGCATCGGGCTCCATGCTCGGCAGGGAGCCTGCTTCTCCCTCTCCCTCTGCCTGCCGCTCCCCCTGCTTGTGCTCTCTCTCTCTCTCAAATAAATAAATAAATAAAATCTTTAAAAACAATTAATTCCACATATAAGTGAAACCCGTACGGTATTTGTCTTTCTCTGACTTATTTCACTCCGCATAATACCCTCTAGCTCCATCCATGTTGGCACAAATGGGGAGATCTCATTCTTTTTTATGGCTGAGTAACATTCCACTGTGCATCTAGACCACGTCTTCTTTATCCATGCATTTATGGGCTGCTTCCAAATCTTGTCTGCTGTCAATAATGCTGCAGGGCAGGGCAGTGGGGGGCTGGGCAAAGTAGGCAAAGGGGATTAAAAGGTACAAACGTCCGGGCATGAAAAGCGCAGCACAGAGAATACAGTCAATAATACTGTAATAACTTTGTATGGTGAGGTGGCAACTACACTTATTGTGGTGACGTCAGAATTGTCAAGTCACCGTGTGGTATGCCTGAAACTCACTACATATGACAACTGTACTTCAATAAATACATACATACATACATAAAAGCTTAAGAACTATTTAAAAAACCTGCAGCCTCCTTGAGTTGGGAGGGAGGGTATTGAAAGAAGAGTATATCCATTGTAAGTTTAGAAAACTCAAAATTCAAAATTTCAAACTTCAAAACTTCACAAAGTTCAAATCAGATTGAGAGGTTTGCTTAAAGAAGAGCCAAGAGAAGAGATCAGGTCCAGGAGCCAAGTGCACCGCTTGGCCCTGACGGACTCCCAGCCTGACCCTGTAGGGCCCCGGCTGCCTCTCAGGTCACCTGCCCAGAGTCACGGTGCACGGGACCCCCTCGAGTCCTGTACTTGCTTTTCCTTTTTCCTCCGCTCTGCTCCGCAAAGCACAAAGCCATAGCCTCCCCAGGAGGAAGGCATGGTCCCAGCCTTTCCAGACCCTTCTCATGACACAAAACACCTGAGCAAGCAGGAGAGGCCCACGTGTGCTCTGAGACCCGTGGAGGAAGCAGCTGTTCTGAGCAGGATCCCATGGAGAGAGGCTGGGGCCCTATCAGGCCATCCTTCCCGCTCTCTCACTGGGGCCCCCCCGAGAAGGGCATATACTGAAGAAATCATAATTCTTGAGGGTCAAGGGTAGAAGACTACACAGTGGGGTGAAAGGTGCAGGCCCCATGACCTGCCTTCAGGAAATGCCATGCTCTGGCCACTGCGCCATCCTGCCCTGCACTGAGGACTGGCTCTGCAAGTGGGGATCCCAGTGTCAGCCTGGGACCTCAGAGAAGCCAGGGAAGGCAGCCCTTTGAACAAAGGGCCAATGTCACTGTAATAGTAACACCTCGCAATTAAGAGAAGCAGGAGCACCAACCTCACGGCAAGCCAAGATGCAGAAGAAACCTCTGGTGTGGGCCTGGGGCCCTGCCCGCCCCTCCCGCCCTCTCCCGAGGAGGACGCGTGCCCCTCCCAGCAGCCTTCCCTTTCCTTCCCCAGAGGAAGGCCACGCTCACCCTGAGCAGGAGGGTCTGCAGGTCTTCAGAGTGAGCCCACTGCTCAAAAACACCATCCAAGGTCTCCACGTACCAGGAGCCCCTCTTGGTATCCCTCCAGGAAACAAAGCCTGCAGAAGCAGAGAGGCTGAACTTTATTGGAGAGCCGCTAGCCACCCCCCACGTGCAGGCTGGAGCCACCTCTGGACTTGGACCCATTCACATGTCCAGCAGGAGCAGCCCACATCTCTGTGCTCTGTTCCGGTCAGGACCTTACTTCACCCTCCCCACCACCTTGGGACTTTGGTTGTGATTCCTGCTTTCCCAGCAAGGAGAACAAGGCTCTGAGAAGTCATGTGACTCGCCCAAGGGCTAAGAAAGGAAGGAGACTAACGCTCGTCACAACTGCTACGTGCCAGGCACCGTGCTCAGGGAGGCACTAACCACCTTGCGAAACCCCAGGGCACCCCCTGAAGTGGGACTGCTATTCCCATTTTAAAGATGAGAAGACCGAGGCAGGACCAAGACAAGGGTGAGGCAAGTGAGGCATACAAACCCAAGAGCAGGTGCCCCCTTAAATTCTGCATCCTAAGCGCCTCGCCTGCCTCACCCCGAGCTGAGGCTCAGAGAGGCGAAGCAACTTGCTCAGGGTCCCACAGATGGCAAGAGGCAGAGCTGAGACTCACCCCCACGCCTTTCCTTCACAACACAGCTGCTTCTAGGGCAGACCGGCGGGGACCCGCTGGCTGGGAGGAGGAGCTCTCCTGATGCGCTCACCTGGGAAGGTGGAGTAGGACACGAAGATGTCACTGGGTGTGGGCAAACTAGACACAGCGTCCGGCTGGTCAAAGGGGCCTAGGCCTTCCTGGAATGGGGCAGCGTCTGACTCCGGGTCACTGCCAGAGGTCCTGTCTTCAGGGGAAGCGCAGGCCACCTCAAACCCATGGTCTTTCTGCTCTGCAGGGACGAAAGACAGACACACCACTCATCACTGACACACACAGACCAAAGCTCCTGCTCCTCACTTCCTGGCGACATCCGGCCTGCCCCAGCCTGAGAGCGCCGGACTCCCTCTGGAGCCAGGGTTCCAGGGCTGAGCAAATATCAGCAAGAAACAGAAACCTAAGCTTTGCCTTTCTTTTTTTTTTTTTTTAAGATTTATTTATTTGAGAGAGAGAGAGCATGCGTGTGTGAGCAGGGGAGGGGGAGGGGGAGAGGGAGAGAGAATCTCAAGCAGACTCCCCACCGAGCGTGGAGCCCAACATGGGGCTCAAACCCACGACCCTGAGATCACGACCTGAGCCGAAATCCAGAGTTGGATGCTTAACCGACTGAGCCACCCAGGAGTCCCCAAACCTTTACTTTTTACTATAACAAAAGTTTTACACACTCATTAGGTAAAATTTTACCTAATCACAATTTTTTTAAAAAGCTGTAAAAAGTTACAAGGTAACACCCAAGGGAACCAAAAACGGGTGTTCTGACAAAACCTTGCACAGCAATGTTCACAGCAGCATTATTCACAACAAACAGTGGAGACAACCCGCGTCCACGACAGACGAATGGACTGCACACATCCAGTGGAATTTCATTCTGGCTTGAAAAGGAAGGAAGCGCCGGCCACTGGTGCACTGTGGACGGGCGCTGGAAACATGCCAAGCGCAAGGACCAGATGCCAAAGGCCACGTCTCTGGCTCCGTATACGTGAAAGACCCAGAATGGGCAGATCCACAGAGAAGAAAGCAGGCGAGTCATTGCCAGGGACTGAGAGGAGGCAGGCAAGGAGAGTGAGTGCTGATTGGTATGAAGCTTCTGTTCGGGGCGATGAGAAAGTTCTAGAATTAGGTCACAGGCATGTGTGCTCATGTACTCACTGCCACTGAACTGTATACTTTAAAATGGTTAAAATGATCAACTTTATGTCATTAAAAAACAAGTGGCATTATTCGGTCTTGTTCTCAGGGGGGCGGCCTCTGTTAACAATCGGCGTGTTTCCTTCCAGACATCTCTCGTCCCTCTGTCCATCATACGTCTGCTGAATGGGTTTTATTCTTCTGTCCCAGCGCCTCCCCTGCCTCCCTCGTTATTTTGTTCTACCATATTACTCGTACTCGCAAAGCTATCTCAGATCCTTGTAGGAAATCAAGGAAGGCAGCAAACCAGAGGTCACAGGATCTGTGGAGATGTTTACACCCTCTGACCCCGTACTTTCCCCAGGAACTAATTCATGTGACATCAACACCCTCTATGTAAAGACATTTGTGGTCACGGGAGCCAAAAATTGGGTATCACCTCAACGGCCAACATTAGGGAAATGGATTAGTGAGTGCCGATCACTAAAACGGAGCATTATAAAGCCCTCTGAACTAGCGGTGACGAGGACCGTAGTGATGTGAAGAAATGCTCACGGGCTAACGCAGGATGAGAAAAAGCAGACTGCCCACGGGCCACCATCCACAGGTAAGAGGCAGAAATGAGACCACTGTGTCAGGCTCGCAAGATGCTGGATGATTCCTACACGCACATTTTCTGTCTTTTCGGTTTCAAAATCCGAATTCCCCCCAAAGCCGTGGCAGACCTGGAAACCAGAGGGGTCAGGGCAGGACTCCGGCCACCCACAGCTCTGCCACAGAGCCATCGGGGTGATGACATGGCGGGAGGTCTCCCGAGACGAGCCCCAGGGAATCACTGCAGGGTGCAATGGGCCACTCCAGACAGGAAGCAGCTAGAAAGAGCTTCAGAAAAAGCAGACAGAGGGCAGAGTGGCCCGGAGGGTTCCTTAGGGAATGGTTTCTGGGGCAGGTCAATGTGACCCAGGCTCTGATGGGAGAGGGAAGAGTCCTGGTGGGGGAAGCAGCAGGTCAGGCAGACCCTGGGCAGGAGAGGAGGCGGGTTTCGTGGCTGGATCTGTGGTGGGAAACAGCAAGGAGGGAAGGAGGTCACGGTTCACCCAGGGACGCTGGGGTCCCAACTGCAGGGGGCAGAGACGGGACAAGGATGGTTCTGGCAACCCCATATAATAGCCCCAACATCTACTGACCTCTCACCCCATACATCTGACTCAGAAACTCGGCAATTTGCCTTTGTTCTCACAGCTGACCTTCAGGGGCCAGGATTCTGCCCTCTGCGTGTTGCCTCTCAGCCCTGCTACCTCTTCCATGGAGGCCCCCAAGCCTGCAAAGCCTGGGCTTTTGAGACGTGTGAGGGCTGGGCTGTTCCACTGCTTACTCAGGTCCCTGCTTCTGGTTGTTTTCTTGGCCGAGATTCCGGAATCTGCCCCTGGGTGTCTGGGAATGACGTGAAGTGGAACAGGGGCCGGGACCTGACATGTGGGTGGCCGGGGTCGGGGAGCACTGTGGTGGGGGAAGCCGCAGGCATGGCCTAAGGAGACGGAGCGGGGCAGAGGGACCGCCTGGGGAAAGCGGAGAGGACACAGTGGGCTCCGAGAGGGGAGTACGAGAGAGAGAGACAGAGAGAGAGAGAGAGAGAGAGAGAGAGAAGGGATGCGAACTCCATCTCCATGTCCCCCTCATTCGACAACTCTGAGGTGAAAGCCTCGCCCTGCTTGTCTCCCTCTCTCTCTGTCCCTCCCCACCACCCCCACGCTCTCGCTCTAAAATATATAAATAAATCTTAAAAAAAAAAAAAAGAATATGCTACAGGTTATGATCTCAGGGCCCTGGGAATGAGCCCTGCGTCAGGCTCTGCACTCAGCATGGAATCTGCTTGGGATTCTCTCTCCCTCTCCCTCTGTCCTTCCCCAACCCCCCGCTCATGTTCTCTCTCTCTTAAAACAAACAAACAAAATATATACATATATATAGTGTGTATATACATATGTTTATGTATATATACACACACACGCATATTACTGAAATGTCCGGTACCTGGGCCCTTGGGAATTTAATTTAGCTCTGGCCTCCCTTTCTCTGCGACAGTGGAGAGAAGGTCTAGTTGAGGGAGGTCAGGGGAGTGATAAGGAAAATGAAAGAGGTTTTTTTCCTCTCCTCTGCTTTGTGATTGCCAAGTCTCTGGAGTTGAAGCTGCCAGAGCTGAATGAGCCCCAGAGGCTCCCGCACCATGAGCTGGAAGGCTCTAACCTCTACAGGCTGGACAAAGCTGAGACCTACTCGAGGCAGAGGCAGGTGCTGCCGTTCGGGCAAAGGGGCCATGTTGGGGGCCCTCTGACTGCCCCTTGGGCACCAGGAGGGACTGAAGAGAGGAAGCAGGGGCAGCTCCTCCCACTAGAGTCATCGGCAGGGAGACTGAGGACCTGCTTACCCCCACCACAGGCCTGGATGAAGAAGAGCTTGGGCTTCCCTCCCAAGCTGGGGCAGCTGGCTCCATTGAAGATGTTCACAATTTTCTCGATGGACACAGGACATCCATCCGTGCCATAAACAGCCCCTGGGAACTGGCGGTGGCTGGCCTAGGAGACCAAAAATCCTGGTTATAAGACCAAGAAGCTGGGGTAGGAATCCAACACACTGTTCAGAGGCGTTGTGGGGCCCCAGCCAGGGGCACAAGCCTGACTTAGGCAGAGGTTGGCTCTGGATGGGTCCTAGGCAGTCTCTATTCCAGAGGTCTCAGACTCATGTGCCTAAAGCATTAGCCTAACTGGATAGCGCTGACCAGCTTCTTCTAGATTGGTGGTTCTCAAAGTGTGGTTCCCTGGACGAGTGGCATCAGCATCACCTAGGAACCTGTAAGGCATGCTGATTCCTGGACTCCCCCCAGACCTAACTCAGAAACCCTGGCGGTAGGGCCCAGCGATACGGTCTTTCAGGAGCCTCTGATGCAGCTAAGCATTGAGAACCACTGCTCTAGATCAGTTCTTCTCAGACTTTCTGTATATGGGGACCCTGTCAAAGCGGAGGCTCCCTGTGAAGAGGTCTGGGGCAAGGCCTGAGAGTCTGAATTTCTCACGAGTTCCTGAAGCCCATGCTGCCGGTCCAGGGGTCGCACCATGAATGAAAAGGGGGCAGTCCCTGCCCAGCTACCAGCCAGAGTTTCACTCTGTGAGGATGTGGCCTAGTAAGGCCAGACCATTGTGGTTTTTCAAGAGAAGCTGGAAATCCTGATTTCTCTGAGAAAGTTGCCAATTTTGAAAACACTGTGCAACCCCCAGGGGGACTACAGGCCTCCAGCTTGGAGCCTCTGACCTGTCCAACCCTCACGTGAAAAGATGGGGGACCTGAGGCCCAGGCAGTGGGAGGGGCTGGGCCACAATGACGCAGCACATTAGTGGCCAAGCCCAGAGTGGATCCCAGTGTCCTGACACCCAGGCAACAGCAAAGGGCCTGGGACAATGCCTAGCGGGATGGAGGCAGGGGCTGGGAGCTCCTGTGTGCTGTGCCCGGCTCTGAATAAAATCCAGGGTAGGAGCTCTGTGGGCGGAATCTCCTCCCTGCCTTTCCCAGGTGGCTTCTCCCAGGAACACAGCCCCACCCAGGAGGAGCATCCAACTCCTCAGAGGGCCAGGTGGCTCCCAGGAAGACAACGGGGGATAGACAGGGCCCCACGGCTCTTCCTGCAAGGCCAGGACACAGGAAGGGATGGGGCTCCGTCAGGGCCTCTCAGCTCAGCACTTGGGGGCAGCTACCCAAGGAGCGTCTACCTGACAGCCGTGAGAGAGGACAACCACCACGCAGCAGTCCAGGCCGCTGTGGTCCCGCCGCGCCAGCTCCACCAAAGCCTGGACCATTTGCTGCAAGAGAAAGTGGCAGATGAGCCGGAGCACTGATGGATCGGGTCCCCACGCTGGGCCCGCCTGGGCAGAGCACCTTCCCTGCTCCCGGGGCCAACACTGCAGTCATGACCGTCCCGACTGTCACGAGAGCCACCATTCTTGGACACCAGGTGCTGTGCTGGGGTACGGCGGGACGCCGCCCCGCCCCCCCCAACCTCTCCGTGGACAGCGACCCTACCTTGGCCTTCAGGTCACACTTCACCTCCACCGTGAAATGCAGTAAGCGGAAGCGTTGCTGCAGCTTTTCACAGTCGATATTGGAGCCGGTGCGGGCCATGAGGTTCGACTCGAGGCAGAAGTTCACGTTGTTGACGATGAGGCAGTGGCCGCAGGGGTCTGCATTCAGGGCGTATGCCTGCCCAAGCACAAGGACCAGTGTCAGCCGGGATCTCGCGGCACCCCTCAGGAGAGAAGGCGAGCCCCTGGGCCCTGTGTCCCTTGGAATCCCCTCTCACAGCAGCCTGTTCGTTTTGTCACAGTACTTAACACAACTGAGACTGACACTGAGCTATGTCTCTGTGTAACTAGCTTCTGCTAGGCTGACGGCTCCACAAGGGCTAGAAACACAAGGCGTCTGCTCCCCGGCATCCTGGCATGGAGCCCAGGACCCGCACACACGAGAGGGAGTGACTCAGTCCCACAGCCAGTGCTGATGGCCTGACGCCCTCCTGTGAGGTCTGACCCCCTGACTTCACAGACAAGGGAAGAGCAGGGAGGCTCGGCCAGCCTGCTCTGGGAAGAGCTGTGTCAGCGTCAGGGAGCAGGACGGGGCCTGGGACCCTCCCGACAGCCGGGCTCAGTTCCTTGGGCTCCCGACACAGCTGCGGAGGGAAGGACCTGGGACGTGCAGAGCAGAAGAGCCCAAAGCCAAGGCAGCTGGCCCCAAGTCACAGGAAGACTCACCAAATCAGGATTTTGCTTGGAAATCTCCTGAGCACCTGGAGAGAGAGAGAGATAGAAAGAGAGGCAAGACATGAATGCCTGGCCCAACAGGGGTGGGACAAGGGTCTCTGAATACAGAAGAGCAAGCATTCGGGAAACATTAGGGAGTGCTGGTGGGAGACTAGGGGCACAGCCACCTTGCAGAACAGCTCAGAAGTCTCCAGTGAGGTTAAGCACACACCTACCCTCTGACCAGCAATTCCATTCCAGGGCATAGACCCAAGAGAAATGAGTGCAGTGAGCCCAAAAAAACCTGGCCGTGGATGATCACTGAAACCTTATTCTTTTTTTTCCTTAAAGATGTTATTTATTTATCTGAGAGAGAGAGAGCGAGCACACGCGTGCACAAGTGGGGAGGAGGAACCGTGGGAGAGGGAGGAGCAGACTCCCCGCCGAGCGCAGAGCCCGACACAAGGCTCGATCCCAGGACCTCAAGATCATGACCTGAAATGAAGTCAGACGCTTAACCAACTGAGCCACCCACGCGCCCCACTGAAGCCTTATTCTTAATGCCCGGAACCAGAAACAACCCAAATGTTCATCAACAAGTTGATGGATAAACAATTTATGAAAAAAGCCATACAAGGGAACAGTCCACAGCCTGAAAACGTACAACACTGTGGATAAAACAAAACTTTATGCCAAGGAAAAGAAGCCAGAAGAGTATACGTGACATGATTCCATTCATATGAAATTCTAAAATAGAAAGGCATAAGGGAAGCTCTAGGGGAGCGGACGCTTCCTGTCTGTAGAATCCGTGGAGCCCAGCACCCAGAAAGTCCTCAGCAAATATGTGCGGAATGAATAAATGAGTAAAGGTGATCGTTTTTCCTTCAGTGTCAAATGAGTTTTCATTTCGATTAGCAAGAAGTCCACTGACCACCAGCCTATAAGGTAGGAGGACCTTTTTTCTTCTTAAACAAAGAGAACTTGGTGGCTCTCTCTGAGCTGCAATGCAAGGTGAGCTGCACTGGAGCCTATTCTCCTGATCCCACAATGGTAACATTCACGGCTCACAGAGGGCCAGGACCCCTTGCTGGGAACTATTCTCTCAAGAGTTTTAAAGCCATGCCAGAAAAGCATTCACATCCCCCCCCCTTTTTTTTTTAAAGTAACTTTCTTTTTGTTTGTTTGTTTGTTTAATATTTTATTTATTTATTTGAGAGAGAGAGTGAGATAGAGCGAGCGTGACACAAGCAGGGGGAGTGGGAGAGGGAGAAGCAGGCTTCCCGCTGAGCAGGGAGCCCGATGCGGGGCTCGATCCCAGGACCCTGGGATCATGACCTGAGCCAAAGGCAGATGCCTAATGACTGAGCCACCCAGGCGCCCCTCACATCCCATTTTTTAATCGGAAATGGTTTTACCTGCCTGAAGAATCCTATCATTCACAGTCTCAAATCTGGAACAATTGCTCATTTCCAAAATCCCACTGCACCTCAACAATATAACTATTATCCACAACTGAAGAATTCTTTCATTCCCCAAATTAGTAGTACCGATCCACAAAGTGAGAGAGGGACATCATCAAAGTAGCACAATAAGAGTTTTCTACGGCCTTCCCCGACAATGAACACCCATTTTGACAATCATCCACAAATTAGACTGCCTTTGTGGAAGTCCAAGAATCGAGCAGAGAAGTTCCAAAACGCTGCTGGTGCAAAGTAATCCAAGATTAGATGCACTGAAGAAGCCAGTCAGCAAGGACTGGAGGGGGTGACTCCTCCTTCAAATGCAAAGCCAACACATGACTTCAGGAAACATGAGAAATCAAGGAAATAGGACACCACCAAAGGAGCAAAATAATTTTCCAGAAACTGACCCCCGAGAAATCGAAACCTGCAATGTGTCGGAAAAAGAATTCAAAATTGCTGTCTCAAGGAAGCTCATAAGCTACAAGAGTATACACAAAAAAAGTTCAACAACATCAGAAAAATAACACATGAACAAAAGAGATAGAAATCATAAAAAAGTACCAAACAGAAATTCTGGAGCTGAAGGATGCCATGAATGAAATTAAAAATGCAACAGACAGCACCAACATCAGACTCCATCACGCAGAAGAAAGAATCTGCGAAGTAGAAGACAAGTCATTTGAAATTATCGGGAAAGGAAAAAAGAGAAAAGAACAAAGACGAAGAAAGCCTACATGAACTATGGGTTATCTTGAAAAGAAACATCTATGCGTTATTGGGGTCCCAGAAGAAGGAAGAGAGGGAGAAAGGGGCAGCAGGCTTATTTAAAAAAATAATGGCTGAGAACTTCCCACACCTGGGGAGATCTGAACATCCAAGGTCATTAACTTCATAGGTCCAACTACCCACCAACCACTCTCTTGGTACTCACAGACATCACTGAATCGTCCAGAACCACTGTCCACTGGCCTGGGCACCTCTGGTCTGAGAACCTCTGGCCTGAGCTTGGCTGGCCAGAGCTGCTCAGGCCCCAGCACCACTGGAGAGAGTTTTCCCGGAGTCGGCTTTAATGGACCCGTCTTCCCTCTGAGATCCTCTGGTGTGAGGCCCATTGGTCCAAGCACCACAGGCATGAGGTTCGGGGGTCTGACAGCCTCTGGATTCTGCTTTTGTGCTTGCCGACTCATTCTCAGGAATGAAGCCAGCGCATCCTGGTCTGTGTCCTCTAAGCAGGAGATGAACAAAGGAAGGGCCTGACTCCCTCGGGTCTCTAGATCTATGACCAGCTGCCTGGCCTGATCGCTCCGAGACCCCGAGCCTGCATGCTGTTTGGAAAGAAAGACATGGCACTGTTATCCACACAATGTCCTGTGACTCTTTTTGTCCCCCACCCCGCCCCATTTCCCATCTAGCCTAGGTCTAAACAATCAGTCACATGGGCAAAACTTGAGCCTGCAGTTATACTGAGTGTGTGCCACTTGCCAGCCTTCACTTACCTATTTTTAAAGATTTTATTTACTTATTTGAGAGAGAGAGAGAGCACAAGCAGGGGAAGCGGCAGGCAGAGGGAGAGGGAGAAGCAGGCTCCCCCCCGAGCAGGGTACCCAACACAGGGCTCTATCCCAGGACCCTGGGATCACGAGCTGAGCCGAAGGCAGACGCCTAACCGACTGAGCCACCCAGGCGCCCTGCTTATCTATTCATTATTTTGGAGGCATCTCCTACGAGCCCAGCATTGCTAGGTGCTGAAAATACAGCAGTGAACATTATTAGTCCTCAAGAAGCAGACATCTAGTGGGAGTTGCAAACAGACAAATCAACAGTGACACACCAAAGACAGAAGTGTCAGGTGGGAAAGTACATGGGCCTTAGGAGGGTCCAGGGTAATCCAACTCAGCCCTGGGAAGCCAGGGAGGCCTCCAGGAGGAGATGTCTTTACTGAGACCCCAGGGAACATTAGGAAGTGAAGAGTGAATTCAGAGAAATGAGAAATGTAAGCTGGAATGGGAAACAGTTGTGAGGGATGAGGCCTTTGTGTGGTCATGCCAAGAAAGCTGTGAGTAGCAACTGAGGAGTTTTAGGAAAGTGACAGAGTCAGATCTGCCTTTTAGAAAAATCATCCTAGGGGCAGGGTGGACAACAGAAGGGAGTGAGCCACAGCCAGATCACGTGGTGGCAAAGACAGTGCAGCAGGAATGGAGAAGTGAGTGGACACACCAGAAAAATCAAGAAGGAGAATGCACAGGATTTGGGCACTCATCGGGTGGACTGTAAAGTGCAGGAATGGTTGAGGTTAACGGGTGTCAGGATGGTGGGGCTGGTCACTGACACTGGGAAAAGGAAGAAACTGTTTATCTGCTCATCCTTTCAGACCCAGCTCTGGCCAAGTTCCTCAGGATCCACAGGGATAAGACACCACCCTGGCCTCAAATATCCTACAGCAGCACTGTCCAAGGGAACTTTCTACGATGATGGAAATATTCTTCACCTGCGCTGACCAAGATGGCAGGCATTAACCAACATGGCTACTGAGCACTGGGGTCCTACAACTGAGGAACCGAATTTTCTATTTTGTTTAATATTAATTACTTCAGATTTACACTTAAATAGCCACAGGTGGCTAATGCTACTATACTGAACAGCACAGACCTATAATGTCACTGAAAAGATAATCCTCACTAACAAAACAACTAGCCTTTCTCTCAACATTTATGGAACACTCACAGTAAGACAGACACTGTGTTAAATGCATCATTTCATCTAGTCCCCCTCAACAACCTTAAGGGGTTAAATTACAATTATCCCCACTTTACAGATGAGGGAAACTGAGTCCCAGAAAGGCACTGCAACTTGCTAATATGTAACAAAGCCAGGATGAGGACCCAGATCCATGTGGCTCAGCCAAACCAGGTGTGGCAAAATGGCGGCCTTGTCGTTCGTGTGACATTCTTTTAAAAATCTGAATTTGTTGCTAACATTTAAAATCAGGGAAATTAACATCAAAATCAGAACTTACAGCTTCTCTTTAAAAATCTGGCAACACAGGGCCAGCATTCTGGAATGACCATATGAGCTGGAGCTGGGGGGCTGCCCACCGCAGCACCCACCCATTGGGCCTCGGTGGGCGTTCGATTTTGTATCTGAAGGCAAGGATATGGCCTCAAACAATTTCCACTCCTCAGTGTAGGCCACAGAGCAGATGCTCATGAGACTTTTTTAATATTATTATTCATTGGTAATTTTTCATTATGACCCTTATCCTATTTAAAGACTTCTTCACTAGGTCAGGCCAAGCTCCTGGATGATGGAGAAAACGGACACTCAGACTGCAAGCAGTCCCCAGGGCAGTGGCCAGAGGCCTCCTGAAAGCCAAGCACACCTCCTGGTAGGAAATACCTCCCAGACCCCTCCTTACCTCAGAGGCCTGTGGTGAGAGCCAAGTAAGACATGAAGCTGCTTTTAAAAGAGAACCTCACATGTTTATTTTCTCCATTACCTGCACCAGGCCCCTCATCTCCAAAACCCCTTAGGAAACATAAACTTAGCATAGGCGGGGCCGAACAAAGTGCGCAGGGCACAGCCAGCTAGGCCCGGACTCTGTGCCTGACCTTAACAGTTTCACATCCATTTGCTCATTTGGTTCTCACGCTACTACTGTTGTCCCCAGTTCACAGTCCAGGAAACTAAGGCTCAAAGACGATCAGTGACTTAGCGGGGGACACAGAGCCAGGCGGTGTGACCCACCCCCTCCAGCTGAGTGCCCTGAACCTCCCACGCTAGAAGGCCGGACACAGGCCTAGTTCCCGGGCAGAAACACAGTGCTGCAGCAGCCAACAGTGCATGCTGGCGGCGCAGGGCGTGGAATCGCTCTAGCCAACCCTGGAAGAGGTGTTTGGGATCGCACGGTTCCGCTGGACACAGATCTAGTGGGCTCAACGCCGTGAGGGAAAAGGGGGTTCCCACACGATAGTTCCCCAAAGGGGATGGGTACGGGGGGCACAGACCGGGAGTGGAGAGTGGGAGCTCGGCCTTTAAGACATGCTGTGGTTTCAGCAACCCTCTCCGCGCGGCCTCGCTGACCCCAGCTGGGACGTGAAGTCTGCGCGCGGCGCGGGGAACTGGGAGCACCTGAATGTCCTCGATCATGGCGGGCGTGAAGAGCTGGCGGGACAGGAGAACGTCCCAGAGCGAGGCCACCTGCAGCTCGCGGACCAGCCGCACCCGGCATCGCCGCAGGAGCTGCCGGTCGGCCTCGTCCATGGCGGCCAGACGACGGAGACCCGGCGGACTTCGGTCCGCTTCCGGGCCTCGGCCGCGGCGCCCCGCCCGCCGCCCAGGACCCGCCTCGGGACCAGCCACCGCGTTGAGCCCCGCCCCCGCACCGCCCCTCGGCCCCAGGTCCCGCCCCTAGGTCCCGCCCCTAGGTCCCGCCCCTAGGTCCCACCTCCGCACCACCGCTGCCCCAGCGGCTCTGCTACCGCGGCCCGCCCCCAGGACACACCCCCGCGTCGCTGCTCCGCCCCCAGGGCGCACTCCGAGTCACCGCCCCTCCCCCAGAGCGCACTCTTAGTCCGCGCCGCCAATCCCTAGCCAGAAGGCACCGCCACTCGGCTTTTACAAAAACTCGGAGGAGGTCACACTGCTGGTAAGAGGGGCACCCATGCCATGGTCTGCCCCGCCCCATTCAAGCCCCTCCCGGCTATGGTGTCCTCTAGCCCCCTCCCCGTCGGTAATAAAACCATAATTCTCTTGCCCCCGCCCCGTGCCCAGATGTCGTCGTTTAGTGTTCCAGACTCTCCTGTCTCACCCAACCAAGCCCACATTTCACGGTCTTAAATCCCCCTCTTCCCTCCCTCCCACCCTAGCACCTCCTACAAGGAAAAAAAAAAAAAAACTGGCAGAAATCTACTCTTCTGAACTCCCAATTTGTACAGCTCACTTCCACATTTCAAAAATAATTGCTCCTGTTTATTGAGCATTTGCTAAGTCTCAGCCATTGCGCTAGTCACTTTACATTGCGTTACCTCACTTGTCCTCGACTACAATCCTACCAAAGGAATACCAAAAAGTGTTCTTTTCCCCCATCTTGCAGATGGGGCTCAAGGAAGTGGTCTCCGTTCAAGGTCCCGGAGGTAGTGAGTGGCACAAGGCGGCCAAAATTTAAACCGGAACCTGACTCAAGTCCACCTTAGAATCCATTCTCCTGAGCATCAAAACCTCAGCCCCATTCATTCATTTATTCCACAAATATTTAAGATCCTGTCTGTGCTGAGGTCCGAGAAGATCCAGGTGAACAAAACACAAGGCCCTGCCCTTAGAAGCTTACATTCCCGTGGGAGGAGACAGACGATGAACAATATAAAGTAATAAAGGATACAGTGTGTTGGTGATAAATGCAAAGGAAATTTTTTTTAAATAGTAACAACAGGGCGGGGGGGGATATGAAATCTCTTTATATCCCCAAGGAACCTATATCATTGGCTCAATGAAAGTTTACCTCATTCACCTGTGACTTTCCCCCTCCCTCCCCGCCACACACACGCATCCCTTTCCCGTGCTGAGGGCAGTCCCTGGCACATTCTATGGCGGAGCTCGCTTTGGTAAATAAGTTTAGGAGTCCTGGATTCTCTAGGCCTTGGGCAAGTCCCTGCCCCTCTCTGGGCCTCAGTCTCCCCATCGGTATAAGGAGGAGTCGGACTAGAAAGGCTCCCTAAGGTCCCGTCCAACTCTGACGCTCTAGGATTCTATGAATAGGGTTAAAGAGAACAGGGACCAGCGATTGCTTCCCCACCCTAGCTACTGTTACTAGACGAGGGCCATCTCCTGGTACGAGTGGAAACTCCTCCCTGAATCGGGGATGTCTTTGGGACATCCCATCATGCATCGCGACTTTGCCTCTCTAGGAGGCACGTTTTGGCCTCTTTGGTCACGATCATCCCTTTGGATCCAGCCAAAGAGCGCGCCTCGTTCCTATGGCAACCGCGCCAGGTCCACGCGCAGACGGCGGGTAGCAAGGGTCAAAACAGATTCGCAAAGTAGAAGTCTTCGACCCGTTCAGTCCGCGCCATCGGTGAGCCGAGCCTTTAAGTGTCACGTGACCCCTCCCGCTCGTCCCCGCCCCTCTCCCCGCCCGAGGTCCCGGCTAACGCTAGTGCGGTCCGGAGGCTCCCGGCCCGGCGGACTAACTGGAGCACGGACGCTGCAGCCGGTTGGGCCGGTGCCCTTTCCCGGTAACTCCTTCCCGGCGTGACGCGCGGAGCCGCGGATGCGGCGGGGCCGGGCAGGCTCGGGGATCCCCCGTCAGTTCCTCCTCGTTCCCGGTTCCCCCGGGCCCGGGGAAAACCGGGAGTCGGCAGGGCCCGGCCCAGGGCTCTCGGTGGGCGGCGGGGAAGGCGGCCGTCTCCTGGAGGGTTGCGACCTCCGGCGGGAGCTCAGACCTGGAGCGTGCCTCCTGGAGCCGCTGCCCTGACCAGGGGATACTGCCCGCGGGCGGTAGCCTACCTGTTGGGCAGGTCGTTTCCTGCCCTGAGGCCGGCACACTCGAGCTCGAGACTGCCAGCCAAAGAACTTCACAGCCCCCCCCCCCCCCGCCTCTTGGGCTGCTCACTGGAGGCGACTGACACGGTGGAATAAGGCAGCGATTGCACTGCGTGATAGACAAAAATAATAAGTACCACTTTCTGACTGTTGACCCTATGTTCAGTAAATCCTTTACATACATTTAACTCCCTTGCTGATCCTTTCAAGGTGGTATTATTCACCTCCATTTATGAATGACACTGAGGCTTAGCAAGTTTAAGTAACTTGCCCAAGGTCATAAAGTGGTGGAGGACAGATCCCAATATGAGTCTGTTTCCAGAGCCTGTGTGCTTAAGCAATAGCTACCTCACCTTCCCGAGTTTTAGCGCCCTGTATGTGTTTTATAGGGCAGAATAGGTTATAGGTTGCCTTAACAAGGAAGAAACTGAATTGTTTTAGGATTTTTGTTCAGCATGCATGCAGTCCTAAAAATTGGCAATCAAATGAGTCAATTTCGTGAGCACTCCCAGGCACTATTTAGACTTCCGCTTGTCAAAATCCACCGCTGTTACAGCTTTGCCTTCCTTAAGTAAGGTGTCACATTAGACACTTGAACCTTAAAACTTTAGTAATTCATGAAAAGTCAAGATAAATATGACCCTCGAAAATTCACCGTATGTTGGCACAAAATTCTGTTTCTGGACTGTAAATTCCGTGCAATACAGCACTACCTTGTTCATTAACCAACCAGGATTATTTCCGAACCCACAGTGCATTCAGTTACTGCACTCACCAGACATGGATCTTTAACATTTGAAGACCCTGCCTGGTCTACAGCCATTGCCATTAATCTCCCTTCACGTGGAAAACTAAATTTTTTCTCCCCAGTTTTTCCTCATCTTTGGTCTCCATTTATAATAACCATATTGCTCATGGTTAAAGAGCATCCTCCCTGTTTTCTTGGTCCAGTGGGTGTGGTGAGAATAGAATTGGGGTACACAATGTCATAACCGTTTTTGGTTTTTTGGGTTTTTTTAAGAGTATCTCACTTTCCTACTTGTACTTATTTAACCCCAAGAATGTCACAACTATTGAATTTCATAGTTTTGCCCCTGGCAAGTCTTATGATCTCATGAATTTATTTAGCCTGTACTCAGTGAAGTGTTCTTAAGCCACGTATCTTTAAGTTTAAAGTATTATTGTCAGAATAAGTAAAACAGTGTATTTAAGATGTAGTTGCCTTGATTTTCCTGTGTATGTTTTCCCACATTTGCTTATTATTTCTTCATCTCATTCATTTTCAGTCATTTCTAGAGCTTTTCTAATCCAAGGAGTCTGGAAAGTTGCTGTTAATTCTTACTGCTCATCTTTTCATCTATAATAGTTCTTATGTATAATATATTCAAAAATAGTAGCAAGATTGTTGATTTTAAAAGACCTGGTCAAACAGATTGACACTTTTCCTGCCAAATAGCGTTTGTTTGTTTGTTTTATTTTTCATCTATATATCTAATCCCTTTATCTAAAAAAAGCAAGACTGTCCAGGTTTCTACCACTGAAACTTACTGCTTCTTCGATCATTTCAGCTCTGGAAAGGAAGAGAAATGGAAGTGAAAAAGTTGAGCATTTCCTGGCAGTTCTTGATAGTTCTGGTTCTGATCCTGCAAATTCTGTCTGCGTTGGATTTTGACCCATACAGAGTCCTAGGGGTCAGCCGAACAGCCAGTCAGGCTGATATTAAAAAGGCTTATAAGAAGCTCGCCCGGGAATGGTAGGTGAAACAAAGAAATAGCAGTTTAATATAAGCTAAGCAGTTTTAGTAGGGGAATGAAGCCTAAATTATGGTTAGCTTTTATTTATCTCTGTTTCTATAAATATATGTATCTGTCTAAAATATTTTATTGGGGAGAACTAATGTTCATGCTATTCTTTAATTTTTAGTGATGAGATCCAAAGCCTGTGTTGCTATGAAACCCCCTTTTAAGAATTCTTTGGCCTAAAGGATTACCCTAGATGCTGCTAGCGTATTTAATGTTAAAGTCAAAGGGAGCTTTAGTTTTAAAATATATATGTAAATAATCAACCATAGATCAGCTAACCATCCCCACGTTGTGTTATTCATAAAGTAACTCTTTATGAGTGTCATTGCTGAAGGGAACACCCTCCAATCCTTTGTTCTAAATTATTAATATTAAGCTTTCAAGAAAATTTAGAGTAAGAGCTTTTTGCCCTCAATTTTACAATATTTAAGAACTGAGTACATTACTCTTAAAAATCATCCTATAGAAAAATCGTGATTCTACCCAGATAGGTTTTGTATTTGCTAAAGAGTATACAAGTGTTTGTGAATTAGCAGGATAGCAATAAATTTAAAACTTATGGACAGACATCGTCAGTTTTTCCCCCCACTGCTTTGGACATGCCAAAGAAGTAGAAGTATCTGGATCATATAGCTGGAGGGGAGCAGCAGGAGGGGAAAGGATGGGAAGGGCACAGGTGACTAGAAGTTGGGGGAGCCAGTCATAGATAATAAAAGCAGGTTTGGGATGAGACCGATCGTTGCACACATACTGCGTGCTAGGCTCCAGGTTCTATGCTTTTTATCTTATTTACACCTTATAATTCCCTATGAGGGAGATATGCTGTCCCTCTTTTACCTGTGGGGAAATCTAGGCTCACTGTTATTAAGTGTTACTTCTGGGCTCCATAGCTTGACCTTCTGCGCCAATAGGTAGTTTATTGCTTTTTTTACTTTCTAATCACGTACGCGTCTGAGCAGACGTAAGAGTGAGTGGGTTAGTGTTGGGGCGCGCAGGAAGTTAGGAGCAAAGCTGCCACATGCAGATGACATTGCAGGCTGTGCATGACTCTCCCTGACACCATTATTCTTCAGTGAAGGATGTAACTTAGTTTTAAGCTGGTTGTGATAAAGGTAAAATATAGTTTAAATTATAATGTTTTGAATACATAAATATTTTAAACCAAACTCCAATCACAGAGAATCCAGAATTCGATACTAAAAATACAATCTGATTATGTGTGGCCCCTTTCCAGGGGTTCTCTTTACAGTAAAATTGCTTTCCACGTCGTTTCAAACTCTTGCCTCTTTATATTTAAAGCAAAATACATAAATCTGCAATAAATCCATAAGGTAGCAACATTCTTTTGGACAGGGTACTGGCCTTTGGAAACATTTTAAAAGCAGAAATGATCGCTTGAGTATGTGGGATTTATTAAAATGTACAGCTTTGACTTTTCTGTCTTCCAGAGCTGAAAAGGGTGTTATGCTATTAATTAAATGAGTCATATGCTTCTCTTCCTTAATTAGATTCTCTCTAGGAGTCATTCATCACCTTAGAAATATAGAGAGTATCATCCAGGGAAAGTCTAAAATTTTACTTCACCTTTGTATTTTCACTGTGTTATTCCTTGTTGCTTTTTTGGCTATGGCAGTGTTTTATCCCTAAAATCGTTGGTTTCACTTCATGATGGCTTCATATGCACTGAAGATAGCCAGTTTGACTTTTCGGAATGAACTGCAGCTGGGGGAAGTGGTTAATCATTGAATTGGGTTTGTAACTCTTCTCTGCTAGGTTTTACTACTAAGTAATGTTTCTTAAGCTTCTCAAGAGCTTTCCCCTTCTTCGGTGAAACCATTTCAAGTCACTTTTTTCTCTCAGGAAAGCTATGTTTCTCTCCTAATAATTAAGTTTTAACATAGGTGCTTTTCTTTTATCGTCTACATTGGCGAAATAAACACCCTCACATCCCAAGAAAGAGGGTCTTAAAATTTGATCGGAAACAAATGGGTATAACATGGTCAAGTCACTGGAACAGTAAAACGATTTGTCTACGACTTTTCTGTATTACTTTTTCTATAGCCAGTAGATAGCAAGTACAGTATTTTCTTCATTTCCAGGTTTAAAGGACGTGTATCATATTGCGGTTGGTGACATGTTTCCTACACACTGAAAATAGTACTGGGCAGTTCTTTCCTAGAGCTGGATTTATCCTTTTTTCTACATGTTTGCCACCTTGTGGTAGTGTCCTGCAATTAGGAAAATATCCCTTATAACCTGAAACTATCTTGTGGTTTCCTCCCTGTTCTCTGGCCTTGGTTTTGTCTGCGTCAGGATCTGTGGTTCTAACCCAGCCACCCTCACAGCCCTCTCCTTGGTTTGGTCTCCTCAAAAGCCCCTTCCAATCCTTCCCCTACCACATTCTCTATGTTAAATCTTCATTTGTGTAAATGCATCATTTCTCTCTTTTCAGCCTAAGTTTGAATATTTAAAACACTTTTTTTTTTTTTGTCATCCAGAAACATGCTTTGGAACCACCATCTTGTTTCCTTAAGTCATACGATTTTCATTATACCCAGCTGACATTTTTTTCTCTCTAATATCCATAATGAGAACTAAATAGTTAAGGGAGGAATGATGTCTAAATTCAACCGCCAGCCATTTTCAGTTTATTTTTAGAGAAATCAGAATATGTGATATAATTCATTCAAACATGTTCCTGCCAGAATAAGCTGATCAAGTCATAAATTTTCTTTATTCCAGTGTACTTGGTGCTGTTTTTAGTAGTCATTTGCTTCCAGGTGGATTGTTTCTCTTTCCTGAACCTTTGCTAGAGGAAATTTACTAAAAGTTAGCAGAAGTGGTTACATAAAGAGTACTCTGTAATAGAGTCTCTTAACAAAAAGAACATTGAAAAATCAGTTGGTATAAAACACTGATTTAGGTCTTGGGGGGATCCTAAGGAAGTAAAACTTAGCCCCTACTTTCCAGGACTTTAAAAATCTCCAAAGTGGAAATTGGCATAAACACAGGCAGATTACAGAATAACATATGACCGCAAATGGATATAGTTAATTGTCAGCTGTGTAAAATAGCAAACATTAGTTCTAACAGAAGTTTAAATCACTTTGCATAAACTGTAGATTTTTCTCACCTCTTAAAACATGGGGCCTGGAAATCATTATCCATTTATAGGTAAAAGGCACCTTAGGCAAAAAGGGACAAGCAGAGCAGTAACGAAACTGAAATGTTCTCATTTGAACATCAGCAGCCATATGCTATTTGGAACATGGTTGACACTAAATGAATTCATGCCGTATTGGAAAGCTATTTCCTGTGTCTACCTGAGTTGTCAGAAGAAATCCCTTCCTTGATAACGTTCTAACGTTGGGATGAGTTGCTGCCATCCTGGGAAGAGAAGTCGGTTCTTAGGGCTCAGTGACATTAGCCTGGAACCAGCTTCAGCAGTGTTAAGGAACCAGGTAAAGACATGTCTATAGCGCACCTTTCCTCAGTGGGATGCTGCCAAACTCCCTGGCGCTTTGAAAATGTGCCCTGCTGAAGTGCTTTGGGTAGAAACACCTGTTTCAAAGTTTCACATAATTATTATGGTCACGTGAAGCAAGTGATTGCCTCTACCATTTATTTTTAAGAAACCGTCCTAACAGAATGGCCTTCCATTTGCCTCTGATGTAGTGAACTGTGTGTACAAGATGTTAATTGTGTGTAAAACATTAAATCCACACTCACTGCCTGCCCATTTGTGTTTCAGGCATCCTGACAAAAACAAAGATCCTGGAGCAGAAGACAAGTTCATCCAAATTAGCAAGGCTTATGAGGTATCATGTCAAACTTGTGATGCATCCATTAGCTCTGATAAAATATTTTTTTAAGTGGCCAGTTTTGTAAAGACCTCTCAGAAAGGGCACGCTCCCAATGCCCTTGACCCAGTTTCTAGATGATGGTAAAGAAAGCATATTTAGCCACATCCAATATGTTGAAATTGGTGCCTGAATACTTCAGCCCTTAAAAACAAAACAGAACAACAACAAAAAAAAACTGGCCTATTTTAAAGGCTTTAATTGGAATTGTAGAATTCTCAGAATTCCTAAATGTAGGTCTCTATTTCCTTTGTAGAAACTTTTATCACATGCTCACCTCAGCAGCATATATGCTAGAGCTTATATTAAGGAAAGACTGGTGTTCCTGTATTTATTAAAGTCGCACAAGGTTACAAGTACATGTAAACACCAGATTTTCAACAATTTTCCAACAGGTCAGCTTAAGTAGCTTGGTCTAGAATGGGCACAAAAGATCAGTCCGTGGCTTCCTGATTTGTGTATGGTAATGCTCTTCGAGAGACAGCGCTTGGCTCATAGAATGGCACATCATCCTAAAACAGCTTCTTGAATTTTAGACTTCAGAGTTATTTCTAAGTAAAACAAAGCTAACGTACAAGACACTGAACTCAGTTCTGTGGGGACTTTTGGTGTTCGCAGCTTTTCCTATCTCGGTTTGAGTTAATTCCAGCTTAAGTGGCATGACCTAGGCCATTTTTTTGTGGTCAACATTATGCTAAGTTTCATTTGTTTTACTGATGTGTCGAGTACTCTGATAACTCAGAATCTGTAAAGCCAAGATGAACGCGAATATCTAAAGGACTGAAGTCTTTTGGTCTTGAAATACTGAACGTTTCTATTGAGAGAGGCGTTTCCTGGCATGTCGGAGACTGCATTCGGAATATCGAGCCGTGCTATAGCTTTACATTTCTTTTCCTTTGTCTTCCGTGCTGCTCACAGAATAGTCCTTGGGGTAGAACTTTTTCCATTTCACAGATTTCCTATTGTTGTCTTTCCTTATAGATTCTTTCCAATGAAGAAAAGAGGTCCAATTATGACCACTATGGAGATGCCGGAGAGAACCAGGGCTACCAGAAGCAGCCGCAACAGCGGGAATATCGCTTCCGGCATTTCCATGAGAATTTTTACTTTGATGAATCCTTTTTTCACTTCCCTTTTAATTCGGAGCGGCGGGACTCCATTGATGAGAAGTATTTATTGCACTTCTCACACTACGTGAATGAAGTGGTTCCAGATAGCTTCAGGAAACCCTACCTCATCAAGATCACCTCAGATTGGTGCTTTAGCTGTATCCACATCGAGCCTGTTTGGAAAGAGGTAGTTCAAGAACTGGAAGGATTGGGTAAGATAATTTTATTTGCTAGAAGGCGTCTGTATAGAAGAAGGTAGCTTTTGTATCTTGATTTTTATGGGCTCCTGGAGAGAAGGAACAGTGAGATTTCTCTTCACAAGTTCATGGTGACTGGGGTCTTTCCAGGGACACATTTTCAGAGAAAGAAATATGTCAGCCATTCTCATTTTGCACCACTAATTTGAAGCCTTATCTGTATAGTTTCCTAACATCTAATTGGGGGCCTAATACCTAGGAGAAGTTTAAAAATTACTGGTTGAGCAAAGCAGCCCTCAAGCATCAATTTTGATGCTGGTGGGATCTGCAGATTGTTCTCATCAGTATTTGTGATTTCATTCTGTGGTTGAATTTGCTAGAGCTGCCATAACAAAAATATCACAAAACAACAGAAATGTATTTTCTCACATTTCTCAAGGTTAGAAGTCCAAGATCAAGGTGTCAGCATGTTTGTTCTTTTTTTTCTGAGGCCTCACTCCTTGGCTTGCGGATGGCCGCCTTCTCCCTGCGTGTCCACATGGTTGTGTCTCTGTGCGCGTGTTTCTGGTATCTCTCTCTCTCTGTGTCCTAATCTCTTTACAAGGACACCAGGCATATTGGATTAGGGCCCACCCTACCGACCTCATTTTAACTTAATTACTTCCTTAAAGGCCCTGTCTCTAAATACAGTTACAAAGTACTGCGGGTTAGGACTTCAGCGCCATCCATAACACTCATGGTCTTGGGTTACCACTCTGGATCACAGATTAGCCCTTCCTGTGTTCATGGTGACCACTTAGTGCCAGGAAAATGCCAGCAATCCAGACAGGGTATTTATTTTAATGACTCTGAAAAGTTGGAATTACTGAATTGTGTGTGTGTGTGTTGTGTTTTATAGGCATTAGCAGACCTATTCTTGAGTAACTAAAAAAGGCCAAACTCAATCATAGAGGCCAAGAGCCTAGATGTCTCTGGAGAGAACAGACCAATGAAAACCATTAGTTCGTTTATCCTAAAACAGAAATTTTCAGCTTGTGGTTCAGAAGCACTCCAATTTGCCGAAATACTTTCGTGAGACTGAGTAAAGAAGTTCTTGGAAGAAGATGAGGAAATAAGTTTAGCACAGTGTCAACCATGTGGTGGGCAGTCAGCAGATGCTTGCTGGTGGTGCATAATGAGTGAACGAGAGGGTGAGATCAGCTGGAAGCCCCTGGGTTGAACAGCTTCTTCGTCAAAAAATGTAATTGCATTTTATACCCCACTAGGTGGTATACTGAAACCTATCTAACCTCCTTCGTCTAGGAGCCGACATTCAGACCCAATAGCAGAACATAAACGCTAAACCACCGCATAAGTTAGGACAGCAGTGCGTTTACACCAAAGTCAGATTAGGGCCAACATTCTATTTTAAACATGCCAGATGAACAGCGTGAAGGAGCGAAGCATGGTGGTTACCTGTGTCCCATCCCTGGGCTTGGGAGTCATAGGTCAGTGTTCAGTGCATGTGCCGTTCCAGCGAGCACCAGGCAGACCAGTGTTCAGATCTGAGCTCTGCCACTTACTGTCTTTGTGTCCTTGGACAAGTTACTTAATACACATTTCTCCATCTCTAAAACGGTTGTAATAATGTCAAACCAACAGGACTGATACGAAGATTAAATGAGAAAAATATCTATTAAGTTTCTAGGATATATTAAGCACAGACGTAAAATGAGCCTTAGGGAATTTCTAATGAACTAGGTTTTCTGGTTTACCAAAGTAAAAATTTTTAAAACACCTATTTTATAAATTTTAAAAATCAGTCTCAAATACATGAGTCTACTTTGCTCAACTCACTGGCTACCAGGCACCGACTTTTGACTTACGTTCAGCTAAGTCTCACGAGGTAATTAGAAGTTGGATGGGCAGGAAACCAAACATTATAGGCAGAGGCAACAGGGCAGCCAGAGACACAAAGAGCATCCAGGGGAGAGGGGGTCGCAGGGTGTGACTCAGGTGTAGCTGAGGGGGAGCAAGCAGGAAGAGCATGCTGGGACCAGGTAGTAAGGAGCCTTAAAGTCCAGGCTCAAGAAGCTGGACTTTTATTTTACAGTGTGTAATAAAGCCAAGAAAAAATTGTCACGTAAAGGCATGATTTAATCGCATCTACACTTTAGAAAGCTGTTAGAGCCGCTTGAAGGACAGATTGAAGAAGGTCAGAAGAGTGGCAGGGAGGTCCCCAGCCCTGGTAGGACAGCAACCACTGGCCCAGACTAGGACAGAAGGAAGAGAGAGGTGGACAAGTGTAAGATATTTGAGAGGTAGGATCGTGGAAGTCTGGAGGGGCCTGGCTCCTGGAGACCACCTGAATGTGAGGAATGGGAGAAAAGGAGAGAGGGGGCCAATATTGACTCTGCATTCTGACTTGAGCCAGTGGATGGGCAGGGAATGCAGGATTTGAGAACTTGTTCTAAATTGTAACTGCGTTTGGACGTACTGCACATGATGACATGAAAATAGTAACACTAGCTCGTATTTATGGAGAATTTACCATACGCCTAGCACAATTGCGTCAACCCATATGAAACAACAGCCATTCAAGGCAGGTGCTGCTGTCATCCCTTTTTTACAGACATGTAGCTCATTTTGGGAACCTCGTCAGGGTCCCACCGTTGGTGTTCGGCAAAGCTGGGATTTGAACCCTGGAAGTCTGGCCCTAAGTCCGTGCGTTGCACACCATGCCGTCTCGCCTTTTAATGTCCTTCAATCTTTGATGATGGAAGATCTTGCTATTCTTTTGGTTTGTCATGCTGTTTGATTATAGTAAGTCAGGACTCAAGTGACAAGGATGGAAGAAGCTGAATTTAGATCCATAGAAGTGACGTTTACTGAGGGTTCAGTCCATTCCCCCACTGCACCCCCGAAGTTCCCTGGAAGGCTGGTTTTGACCAAATGTATTAGTTTGGTTTATAAACCATTTTCCTCTTTGGAACATTTGGATTAATTGAAGATTCCCGACAGTCAAGGTCCACTTGGTTACCGCTGGGTGGCAGCACGATGAGATCCTTACGGCGTCCATGGCCATTTCCCTGTCCCAGTGAGGCAGCACTACCCTTTAAGGCAGATACTGCCAAAAATGTTTCTTTTTTTTTTTTTAACATTTATTCCAGAGATAGAGAGGACACAAGCAGGGGGAGGGGCAGAGGGAGAGGGAGAAGCTGACTCCCCGCTGAGCAGGGGGCCCAATGCGGATCATGACCTGAGCCGAAGGCAGACAGACACTTAACCAACTGAGCCAACCAGGGTACCCCCTGCCAAGAATGTTTCTATTCTGAGTTAATAGGAAGAGCAGACTGGGGTACCTGGTGGGCTCAGTCAGTGGAGCGGGTGACTCTTGATCTCAGGGATGTGAGTTGGAGCCCCAGGTTTTATGTAGAGATTATTTAAAAATCTCTCTCTCAAAAAAAAAAAAAAAGGAAGAGCAGACCATCTTAAAGATCAGCTGAGAGCTTCTGGGAAAGCTCGGACCTTCTGTCAGAATAACGTAAAATGCCTGGATTGCCATGGATGGATGAAAGAGAACAGTTCTACCCCGGGGAGAGATGCAGCTGCTGGTTAGGTGGAATCCACAGCCATGCAGCATGGTAGCGGCTAGTGTGCAAAGCAGCCCACGTGTGTGGACAGCCGCCCTGGGGAGAAGGGCCAGAGTGGTCGGCGCTGCCTTCAACCTCGAGGAGCTTACTGTTGAGCTGAAGAGAAAAGATGTACCCAGAGAATACACACCTGACATTTGCAAGTACAGAATCACATTTGCAATTACAGAATAATAAGCGCTGCAGGAGTAAGCAGAGGATGAGAAAGAATTCATGTTCTCATTTCACACTCTCTTCTTGGTGAACCAAGTACTATGTTAGACATTAATATATAAGTTGTAATAGTTTTTATTGAGCCTTTCAGTTGTTTGGCATTGTGCTAGGTGTGTTTTGAGGATTGTCTGTATCCCCAGAGCAACTCAGTGAGGGAGAGACTGTTATTATCCCTGTTTTCCAGATAAGCAAACCGAGGCCCAGGAAGGGCAAGGAACTAATCAAGGTCACACTATCCACAAGTAGAAGTGCTGGGATAGAGACCCAAGAGCACAACTCTAGGGGACACATTCAACCACCATGCTGCACGGCTTCAAAAATCAGTAAAATGTGGTCCTTGCATTAGCAAACTCAGGTGGGAGACACAGGTGAATTATCACAGTGCTCTGCGTGCTCACCGGGAGGGGCACAGACAGCGACCAGGGTGTCAAGGAGGTTACATGTCTTAAAATCAAATACCATTTTAGGGGAGCCCAATTTGAACAATCCTGCAAATTATTCACCATGACTTCTCATTTATTTTTTGCAAAATTTATTTATTTATTTATTTATTTATTTTAGAGAGAGAGAGAGCGTGAGCAGGGGGAGAGGCAGAGAGAGAGAACCTCACGCAGACTCCTCACTGAGCATGGAGCCTGATATGGAGCTTGATCTCACGACCCTGAGATCATGACCTGAGCCAAAACCAAGAGTCAGGTGCTTAACCGACTGAGCCACCCAGATGCCCCATGACTTCTTATTTTAAAAGGAGTAATTTCTCCCTTTCAAGGAATTGTTAAGTATATAACAGTGTTACACTGTCTAAGAAAGGGGTCTACCTAGATACTGGTTTTAAAAAAATCTGCTTTAGCTCCATATCCTTGATTTTGTTCCATTTCACATTATTTTGCATCTTTTAATTTCTTTATTGATGGGTTTGTGTTTAGTCAGATTCGACAGTGGCCTATTCCTCCAGTTGGCGCTGTACATTCCTTAAGACATACGCAAAACTTGTGGGGCTCCTGGGTGGCTCAGTCGTTGGGCGTCTGCCTTCGGCTCAGGTCATGATCCCAGGGTCCTGAGATCAAGCCCCACATTAGGCTCCCTGCTCCGCGGGGAGCCTGCTCTCCCTCTCCCACTCCCCCTGCTTATGTTCCCTCTCTCGCTGTGTCTCTCTCTGTCAAATAAATA